ACACACACACACACACACACACACACACACACACACACACACTCACTCATTCACACATTTCCGGAACTAATTAAAATTTAAATGAAAACTGACCACTGTAAATGGAGGAGAAAAGTTTCAATCCACAATAAGATCCTGTAAATACTCTAAACATCCTAACATACTCAAAGGTGCTCTTCAAAGTCATTATCTTGAATTATTATTAATAAATCATCTAATAATGCAATAAATCAATATTTTCAGATTTTAAAAAAAGCTCGGACTTATCCTTCTCTCCCCAACAAAAAACACTGTTTGAGTACCAAAGCTCACACCTTTACTTGCCTCATAAAAAGTAGCTGCCCAAACAACTAAACCATTGTTCCTGTCTAACTTCTGAAGTGGCATGAAAACTACATTCCTGGGCACTACATAATCTTCGTGCCTGACCCCCCAAGAACCTTTAAGTCAAATTCATTTACACCCAGAGGGCAATACACTATTGTATACTCTCCACTTTCTAGCCACCTATGAACAATGGATAGTAATTGCAACTGTCATGGGCAGTCAGAAGGAAAAGTAACCCAGCGCTATTTTTCCAGTTTACTGCCAAACCTGAGCTGAGCACCTAATAACCATGTCCCGAACAGAAGAAAGACCTTCAGTTGCTTTTAAAATGCATCAGAAAACAGCTTTTTGAACAGAACCAGAGGACAATAACCAAACTTGTGCTCTGAATGTGAAGCTTGAAAAACTCGAAATTAAAGACAGAAACTTCTTTTGCGATTGTACTGTAGCTTCCTAAACTAACCCCTCAGGCAAGCCTGAAAGGACAGCTGAGCTTTCCTCTAAGCTTGTTATCACTGCTGTTGCTGCTTTTAGGTTTGACTTGTGAAGGAAAACAAGGGAGGGGAAAAAATATTTGCCTTCCAATGGAATGAGATCACAGGCTTGGAAAAGGCAGCCTTTTCTGCTCTACTCTCAGTTATTACCTAGGTGAGTGGTAAAGAACCTTGGAGAATACATCCTATGCCTCAGGTGCAAATGGGTTAAAATCCATCAAAATAATATAAAGCACCTACTGTCTCTGAAAATGAAACTTCTCAGTTCTCCTTAAACTTTGTCTTTAAGCTCTTTAAGGCACATTAATTATTCCTCTGATTCCATTATAGATTTTCCTCACCAAATTTGTTGATTAGCACTCATTCAATCTCTGGTCACCCATTCAGAATTAATCATAGCCTAAATATATGTAATTTCAAATTATTTGCATGAAAAATGAAATAGTCCGTCAAACATTTTCTGGAAGTTTCTGAGTATCCAGATGTTAATGTTATGTAGGCCTAACATTTGATAAGATTGATACTTTGCCTTTCTCCAGGACACAATGATGGAGTAGAGACAAGAGAGTCAGCTGCCTCTCTGACTGGGAGAACTCTTGCACAGACATGCACGTGCAAAAGAGTTACTTATACTCATATTTATACATGTATATTAATATAAATCTGGTGATGTTTAAATACGTATTCAGCCCCTACCAAAAGTATACACAATAATATATATTAATAACTAAATATTTTAATATTGATGACAAAGTATCTTGAGTTTCTCAAACTTAATCCCACCTTAGAACTCAGACTCAGAATCCTAAGTGTCTTATTGGCCACACATAGAAAACCATAGATTTGGGTTTTCTGAAAACCCACCATGTTTTGAGAAAACACATTTTTAATTAAAAGGATCATTTGCTTATATTTTTATATGAGGAAATTAAATCTTTTCCCCTTGTTATTAGTAGCAGTTTATTCAGGTATGAATATTCAGTATCTTCTGTACTTTATACAGAATTTTTCTTAGTTGGATGTAATAGCTGATTCAAACAAAGAGAAAACATTGCCCTTACTGGTACAAAACAACCTTTTTTATGCCTTCTTCATTCATCATTTCTGGTTTTAAATGTAGATTATATACCTGCATATTTCCAATATGGAGAATATATAAAATCATCTTATAAAGATGTAATTTGTAACTTTGCTATAGGTTCATTCCTACTTATGAAATAAATTATTTAAATTAAATGAAAGATGAAAATCAAAGCCTGTTAAAGACATAGTGGGGTTATTCTGTTAAAAATAATAAACCATTTATCCGATAAGGCACAAAGAGAGAAAATAAAAACCCTGGTACATATGGAAAGAAGAAATACCAAACATAGAGACTGCTTGAAGCAGGATGGGTTGGGAGCAGAAGTACATTATCACCATTAATATTCCTAAATACCAACTTCATTTTGGTACAATTTGGATCAAAAATAACCACATATACATTACCTTTTATTTCGCCAAAGTTCCCTGATCCCATTGCAAGAAGCTTGTCTTTCCAGTCCTTTGAGAGTAGCTTTTCGATACTGGGGGTTTCTAAGCAAAGAAAAAAAAATGTAAGCAAAACAATATGACTATCTTTACAATGGAGCTCATTATTAAAAGTCTCTCGGCTAAAAATAAGGCCATCTCTATTCCAGCCCCAGTTCATAATGGCTTCATCCAAAAACTGATAACAGGGGCAGAAAAAAAGAATGTGTTTTGTCACCTACTATTTCAAAATCATTAGCTTTTTCCTCTTGCAGAACAAAGCTATACTAATTCTTTATGACAATGGGTACATTGCAGGGGTGAGGGGAAACTTGCCCTTTCCCCTAAAAGTTCACTGAAAGATCAATTCACAATTAAGGCAGATTAATAAGAGAAAGGTTTATTTACCATACACATGGGGAGAATCACAAAGCGATTAACCAATATCCCACTGGGATCCAGGTATTTTTATAGTGGGGTTGGGAAATAAGGAATACAGGTAATTCTGTTTAGAGGTGACAAATGGTGCTAGGAAGGACAAATGGATGGGGGAAACACATTGACTTGTAAATGATTCTCACTGCAAATTAAATTAACCTGAGAGACAGGCATTATATTTAAATGATTTGGGCCAGGTCTGGTTGCATTCTTGATCTCTTGTTGTTGTTGTTTTGTTTTGTTTTCTGGCAATATACTGAAACAGCAGGGAGAGGAAGGGAAGAGTCAATTGCCCCTTTGATCTTTTGATCAGGTCAGGCTGGTTTATGCAGATAGAGTGAAAGCCCCTCGCAATGCCTTTTTATCTGGAAGGGCCTCAATGCAAAATACCAAGGAGTCATATTTTGGGGTGAAATATCCTAAGCTCCTTTAATATAAACCTGCAGTTCATTGTTTTTCAATTTGGTGAACAAATTCTTGCTATAATGGATGCTTGTCAATTTCAGGGTGTTAGTCTGCAGTCAAAAAATAATTATGTTGATAAAATGCAGAGTAAAAAAAAAAAGCAAAGAATTAGCTCTTAAATCTGCTACATGTAATTATATCCCTCTGTGTGTTTACAATTACATCCACTTTATAATATGTGTTTAACATCGTGTGGTGGTAAGCACACTGTGGCAAGATTTGCCAGTATTTCGAACACTGAAAAAAAAAAAGTTGGTATAAAAGAAGCTTTAAAAAGATTTCAAAATCTACAGAAGTGAGTAATGCCTGCAATGGAAACCTATCATTTGCTTATTTCAGATTTGTATCATACTCTTTTAAAATGCCCTGTATTGGACAGGGCACACACATTTTAGAGAATAAGGTTATGGTTTAGTCTGGTATTTGTTTCTATATATCACATGGGTTTGGACTTTTCCTTCTGTGTTGAATTTTAATGTATAAGTAAATATAAATGCTAATAAAAACTTCCAAACATTAAACTCAGTTTCAAACAATATAACTGTATATTCTTGTCAGCATTTAGATGGGTACACAATTACAATGGCTTTCAATCCCTTGATTAGCATTGCATTCAGTTAAAAAATGGAATGTACTAAAAGATAAGTGTCCCAGTATGCTCCATCTAAATAACAATACGCACACTTACTCTCTGGATCTAAGACATACACTGCCATTCTCTACATTAGTGTTTATGTGTATTTGTGTTCAGGCATTTGCTTACCCCCCACCGGGCACATAACAGGGAGTACATGTTAACTTATTAAAGGGAGTGTCTGGCCTAGAGACCATAAGATTATTAGAAACTGGTTAATTTTCCCCACAGTAAAATACATTTTAAGGAGTCTTCATCATCATCTTTAGCTAATGCTATTTACTTTTTACAGTGCCCCATCTTATAGCCATCAGCTATCAGAGTCACAGAGCCTCTGGTGGAGTTTTCAATAAAGCGGTGGTGCAATTTTCCTTGAAAAAAATGTGACAACATGGAAGACTTCTTTCTCAAATGTCAAAAACTTGTGGACAATAAAATGGTGAAAAGCTCTGAATGATTACTCCCTTTACATAGTCTATAGGTATGGTGCAAATACATATACATATACCACAATTATTATGTGCAAAATCACCTATGGAATGTGTGGAATGCAGTTTTTCCTTTTTAACAGTTTAATAGTTTTCTCATTTAAGGAAAAAAAGATTCTGAAGAATTTACTTCTACTTTTTCTTAAAATATCCCTATTTCTCTATCATATTGTTTCAAAAATAGAAATGGCAATTCTATAGGTAATAAAACACAGTAAATATATTCATACTGTAATCAATATTTCTATTCATTGAGGTTTCAAAAGTAACTTTAAAATACTTCTGCAAAGATTTCTAATGTTTCTACATTCCCAGTAAATACTTTGTGAGTGAAATTATTTCTTCAACCTTATCAGAGTAGGTCAAACAAACACTACTGTTTCTTTTTTCCAGCACTCTACAAAAATTCTTGAGTAGCATGTAAACAGGGCACAGCCAATATGGTATTTGCAATAGAGTACTGTCAGTCATTAAAAGCTAACAAACCTTTGCAAAGCAGGAATGCAGCAATAGAAATCCATTGTGCACTAACAATAGGCCCCTGAACCTCCAGGCACCAAAAGCAGACCATTTTACTTTTAAGGCTATTGTCTGCAAAGTCCATGACAAAGCTTGTCCCCTGCAGCTAGACAAAATATTCACTGTAGTGTGCTCATAAAGAAACAGAAGTCTTCTGTCTAAGTTTCAGAGTTAAAGAAACAGCAGCCAGATTTCTGAAACCTGCAGAACATTCCTGGCCTCTTTATTAACTAGCATAAAGATATAAGGCTCACATACTGAGCCAGTTTTTTCAAGTACCTGACTTTTAGCATACACTATAGAAAAATGAATAACTTCTTTAAGACCAAATTATTTGAAAAATATAAAATCAGAAACATATCTAACTCAAGGTTGTCATCTCTGTGGATGAAAAAAGACACTAATACTTAAAATGTGGATGAGGTATATACTTTAAATTTAGATTCAAATACATTTATTGAGCAGCCTACGTGCCAGGAACTATGCTATATGTTTTTACCTGTATTCTCTTATTTAATCATAGCAACTAACTGAAGACTTGGATTGTGTTGTTGCATTTATGTTGCAGGTTAAAAGAACAAAAACAAAAACAAAAAACAAAGAAGCACAAAGGAAAAAAAGGACTGGTCTGAGATTCCATAAAATGTAATGGGCAGAATTGAGGTCTTGAACTAAGTGAGTTTTTCTGCTACACATTCTTGACTCTCTTATAGACAACAAAATGATAATAACTATTATTTTATGCACTAAGTTCTCAGCAGCATACCATGTCCTTACATGTGGTATCTCAAATTTCTCAAAATAATCTTCTAAATTAAATATTAGTGTGTCAGTTTTAGCATTTATTAATAAGAAACCAAAGCTTACGGAAATATCATGACTTGCCCAATATGTAGCTAAATTGAAATTATTGTGAAACAACCCTTTATAAAATTAATAAGGGGCTACAAGGTGGCAACTGTGGTAGGAGAAATATATATAACCAGCCATTGTTCCCTAGCATGCTGTCCTATAATTGCTTACTACTCAGGAGTCATACGGCTGATGGTCATAAAGATTCTTAGCTTTCTTCATTGCTCCCATAGATTACATCACCCTTGTGAAACCCAAGGATAGTTTCTGAGAGATCTTCCAGGTCCTGCATTCTGGTACATAGCTGACCCACCCATATCAGCAGCCTATACCAAGGAACTGACTCAATCTTGCCAAACCCACCCAGGAACTGACTCAGTACAAGAAGACAATTTCTACACTCCTACGATTCCACCCCGAACCCAACCAATCAGCAAACCCAATTGCCTAGTCCCTTGTCCACCAAACTATCTTTAAAAGCCCTTTCTGCCAAATTCCAGGGGAGATGGATTTGAGAACTTCCTCCTCTCTCCTTGCATGGCGCCTGTGATATTAAACTCTTTCTCGGTTATAATGCCTGCTGTCTCAGTGTATTGGCTTCCTCTTGAGCAGCAGGCAATGAACCTGGTAAGGCTATAACACTGGATCCTGAAGTTTTTGCTCTTTCCAGCACACACTGCTGTGGTTAGAATGGGTCTCTCAAAAAGTATGTGTTGCAAATTTAATCTTCAATGCAATAGTGTTGGGAGGAGGGGCCCAACAGGAGATATTTAGGTCAAGTGGGTTCCACCCTCATGAATGGATTAATGCTGATTATAAAAAGGCTTCAGACTGCAAGTTCAAGTTCTCCCATGAACTTGCTGCCTTGCCCTTCTGCCTTCTACCACGGTAGAAGGCCATGGCAGTGAAGGCCCTCGCCAGCTAGCAACTTAATTAATATTGGACTTGCCAGCCTACAGAACTGTGAGAAATAAGTTTATTTTCTTTATAAATTATCCAGTCTATGGTATTCTGTCATAACACCACAAAATGTACTAAGACAGAAAATTGGTACTGAGAAGTGGGGCTGCTGTAATAACAAATAGCTGAAAATGTGGATGTGGCTTTGGAACTAGGTAATGGGTAGAGCCTGGAAGGATCTGGAGGAGCAAGCTAGCAAAAGCCTAGATTTTCTTGAAGAGAGAACATTAAGGGCAATTCTGGTGAGGGCTCAGAAGGAAATGAGGAACAAGGTATTGGACACTGGAGTAAGGGCCATCCTTGTCACCAGGTGGCAAAGAACTTGGCTGAATTATGTCCATGCTCAAGGGATTTCTGGAAGGTAGAACGGTGTAAGTAAGAGTAAGACGTGAGCATAGAGAAATTACCTAAAGACTGAAATTATAATTAAAAGGGAAACAGAATGAAAAGATTTGAGAAATTTGCAGCCTCGCTGTATAAAGAGTAAAAAGGAGTGTTTAGGAGATCAAACCAAGGGTGTGGCCAAAGCAACCCTTTGCTAAACAGGTTAGTATGGATATAAGAGAGCCAGGTGCTATACATCAAGCTCTGGAAGGCTTTTCAGAGATCTTTGACCTGTGACCTCCCATCACAGGCCCAGAGCAGGGACTTGAGGGCAAGGTTTTCAAAGATGACCAAGGGACCTCAGCATTTGGCACCCGGGGCCCCAG